ATCATTTGTTTTCTTCTCTTTAAGCCTAGTTTGCATCTTATTTTGCAATAAAATTTATTTGTGGGACAGAAAGACAGATTTAAAATATGTAGAACTGTCCCGCACAAATCGAGTCATTAGGTCATCCTAGTTAGACCTCTAAATCTTAACACTCACAAGGTTATGTTCATTGTGCCATGGTAAAACATCAGAGCTGTGGTACATTTTTAACTTCCTCTTAAATGATGGAACAATTGATGTGACGCCACATTTCAATCGATCCTGGAGGCTCTTTAGCAACTGACCAATCAGGGAAACAAAGTGAAACAGACCTCTGCTGGAGTGCTGCATCTCTCTCTATCTCAGACAACCTTGACAGGTTTTTACATCAACAAGGCATAGGAGACAGAGGAAATTTGCTAAGACATTAATAAAAGCCTAAAGGTTGTAACTAGCTTAACATGACTTAAATAAATTTGACCTACCTACTTTTTGCTGTGTGAATATAAGAAAGGATCCTGTTTTAAAAAAAAAGCTTGTGTTGCTTAAATTCAAATGCATGTGATAAACTGCGCCCAAGGTAATGTGCTGCAAATATTCATGCAAATATGATGAAACATAATGCTGATTTCAACTTCTCGGTTTTGTAACCTCAAAAGGGGTCGGACACTACTTCACTCATTGTCAACTTTATTTTAGTCCCTAATTGTACTTCCTGTGGATGTTGAAAACCATGGGCTTTACTGTTGATTTTTCCAACAGTTGCGTCAGGTGTAGGAGTTTGCCCTAAAATCGAAGGGTTGACGGTTCAAGCCCCGGCTCCGGCTTTCAGTGTAGTTGTGTCCTTGGGCAAGACACTTCACCTGCACCCATTAAAGGGCCCCTGCACCTCGCTTCTGTCAGTGAGCCCCAGGGCAGCTGTGGCTACAATGTAGTTTGCCACCATCAGTGTGTGATTGTCTGCGTGAATGACTGAATGTAGTGCAAGTCTCCTGACTTGAAAAAAGCGCTATATAAGTACATGCCATTTAAATAACTTTACTGACTTAATGTAGAGAAAAACTTTGCCTATTGTCTTTGCCATAAGGTTTGCTGGTCACGCATCAAATTACCTCTGGTAAAGAGGTTAGCTATGGTTACACCATTCTGCCTTCTGACTTACATTTTCATGTAGGTGCAGCAATCTTGCAGTTTGCATCACATCAATTAGATTTTTCTGACTGGTTACTTACGTTATCTGAATTGTCGCAGGATTTTTTAATTTGCAAACTCTCGAAAATACAACTTGCCAGGAGCCAGCAGATACGTTTACCTTGATAAGTTTCAGACCAATGAAATGCATTGAAGTGCATCAACGAATCAAGCAGAGGCGGAAGGCTGAAGCAAAAACAAAGATGGCTGTGCCAGTTTCGGAGGAAATTCCCTCGGTTTCTTTTTGAATAATGAGCAAAAGAAACTTCTACTGAAGCTTCTACTGCTGCTGTGATTGGGTACCTGCCTCCCATGTCGTGTTTTTAGCCAATCAGCTCAAAGAGTTAAACTGAATGTCAGGGTTACTCAAACATCTATCCTCCTAATGTAGGTTTAGCGTAGGTGCATTATGAAGGTGTTTTAATAAACCTTTTTAAACATCTGCTGACCATTTTGTCTTTAAAAGTTCAGTTCTATCTACTCTCATTCCTTCTTTCTAGCTTGGGGCTATGCTATCTTATTTCTTTTCATTTCTCATCTTTTTCAGCTAATAGCTGGTTTTACAGCTGTTCATTTATATCTATACTGCCATCTTCATTAAAACCTGACACATTCTTCATCTGTGCCAATTTATGTCAAATTAAAATGTAATTTAGTTTTCAGGCAAGATCTTACATTTTAGCTTTAGTAGATAATTAACATGAAGTCTGTAATATCTCTTATCTTCAGACAGCAGTCTAGTTGTCTTGAAAGATATCAAAGATCACCTGAAAAATAAATCTCGATAATTGGGTTCAACAGTTTCTTTAATTGTCCTGCATGTGACTTCACTTACTGTCGCCATTAATGATTTGTAATTTAAAAGTGACTCTTTTTGAGGAAAGAAATGTTCTGCATAAAGATGGAATAACTTGTTAGAAAACGATTTTTTTATACTATTGTAATGCTCTTTTAAAGAACTTGCTGTGGAAAAAAAAGTCTTGTACCTTTTACTATTCAAGAGAATATGAAATTGGGACTCAATAACTATAAAAATAAAAAATGATTGGATAAAAGGGTCTCTTGTAGAGTTTCTCTGATCAGGATTTTTTCTGCCGATCCTAAATATAATCCCTGCCATTTCAGATCACTGCAGATGGATCACATGGATTGGCCATTAATTTTTGGGTACAGGTATAAAGGCCGCTACTGGCTTATGTGACCTGGCAAACTTGAATCATAACATCATTTAATATTTACAAAACATAGCAAAAATTTGCTGGCACAATGCAGCAGGTATTCAGTCGAAAAGATGAAAGAAAAACATGCCTTTGATAATACAATATGCAACAGAATAAAAAGTTATGATCATTTTTTTTTCTATCGTCCGGATAATCATAATAGGACGATTTTCATCTGTGGCTGATCGTTCAGCTCCCCACTAGCTTCTGATAGGCATTGTAGAGAATTTAAAACAAACTGAAGACAACCCCGCCCAGTAAAGTAGTTATTTTACTTTGGTTCTTTTCGTAGCTTTGGTAGTTAGATAAATATAAAATAATTCATTAAGCTATTTAAGGAATAATATTTTCTTTGGCTGTGTGTTGGGTCAATGGTCTTGCTTGAAGATGTTTATTTTTATCTACATTTTCTTAAAACAGTTTTTGATGTTATACTTCATTGTTCCATGTATTCCTTCACGCATATCAAGCCTAGCAGTAGGATAGTCCACACCATCGTATTTCCCTTTGCAAATCTCACTTTCAGTGTTATGTTTTTGGGAAGCTCTTTAGAATCATCCTTCTTTCAAAACATGATGTTTGCAATGACATCCAAGGCGTTTGCCTTTGCGTTGACATGACCATATTCTTCCTGCTTTTCTTTTACTTGTCCAAATCTTCTGAAGTAAGCTTAAAACAACTCTACTTTGCTTCAGCAGTGGAATACAGAGACCTGCCATTTTTGGAGAGAGAATTTTTAGTGTGTAAATTTATATCTTGACCATACTATCCTTGTGCTACACAATTCTCTAGATATTATTATGCATTAGTGTGTTGCTGTGTCTTCAGAATTTCCAGCTATTTTCAGAGTAGCTTGGTTTCTGTCATAGCGTGACAGTTTTATCAAAGTTCTGCTTTCTTTAAACAATATCAGCAGTGACTGGAGTTTGAGAAGAACATTGTCACCCAGGAGACAGTCAGTCACACAGACAGATGTGCACACTTTCACTTTGTATTTTGCACCTTCTTGATCTTAAAAAAAATCTGTTCAAATGGAAGAAGCAAAAATTTTGTCAAGACAAGTATGATGCCTAAAAAGCCTCATCGCTGTTATCTGGACTAGAAGCCTTTTGCTCATTTCCCTTTCTAATTAAGATGTCATATTTTGTTTTGTTTTTTTTTTAACTTCACAGAGTGACACTAAACGTTTTGAACGTTTCAAAATAAATGAGTATGAAATGTTTTGTTTTTTGGTCTGCATTTTTTCCCACTGAATTTCCAGTTACCACCCAAGGAGCTATGAACTAATTAAGATCTGAATAAACATACTGTTTGGAATAATTTTATACACCCGTGCTGCGTCCACATGATTTAGGATTCTATAATCAATAGCTTTAATAAATGTGTTTTAGCAAACAGGTTTTAGAGACATTACAGTATTATTTAGAAACTTGGTTTTCCTCTCACTCGAATTCTGAGAAAATTCATCAAATATGAAAGATTTATCTGAAAAACCATTAAAAAAAACCAAGAGGTCCATCTCATACCTTTTAGGTAGTATGCTTCCTAGGCTCTGCTACAAGTTATTGCTGCCAAAGGCGTATCTATAAGCATTGAAACCCCTAGACCTATTTTTCCTTTTTTGAAAAATGCATACTGTAGAAATATATTTTTGTGCAAAATTTTAAAGATGCATGTTTGAAAACTACTTTTGGAAGTTATTCTCAATGAGCCTCTGCTGAAAGTTCTACATTCATATGTGTATATGTGGTGTAAGCTGCATATTGGATCAGGGTTGGTCTTCAAAGTATTCAACATGTCAAAGTTCAAATTTAACCAGCCGTCTCTTAAATTTGAATTTTCATCACAGAGAAATCCACCCTTTCATCTTTTGGTATGTAGGTCTGCACAGGCCAGCTTCAACATTCAACGGCAGGGAAGATAGGAGATGACTGAACTTTTCTCCAAATAATTTGTGCCTACAAATGTAACATAAATACCAGAAAGAGAGTTGAATACTGGCGTTTATTCTGATGCATATATATAGTTTGTGATTTAGTTGTCTGCATCTGACCAGCGAGCTGCTCCTCATATCTTTTTATGTTCCTTCACACTTTTTCATTTGTCATTTAACTATTCTGTGGAAACATTTTTGTTAATAGTTCCTCTCTTAATGACTGACTCCATTCTACACAGAGACATTTCACTGACTTTACAAACTAGTTATTACAATGGGCTTTTTAAACAAATTAAAGTGATGCTTTGTCCTGTTTCTGTTCTTCTTCATAAGCACCCTGCTATGATTCTCATTTGTTCAATCTTTACTTTGCTCTTTGGATTGTTGCATTTTCTAGGAAAATTGGGCTGCTGCACTGCTTTGAGAACATTGTTTTAGAGCTGACCGTCAAAGAGCATCATTGCTGCATTAGCCTAGTGAGATAGTTATGGAATTCTTAATGTTTACAAAGACAATATCTTGCACACATGGCTGCGAATGTGTGAAATATATTTTAATGAAGATGTTGATTCTGACTCAGGCTAAACAAAAGTACCTTTTATGGTCACTGTTCATTCAAAGTAGCGTCAAAGCTGTCGACTGATGTGTTCTCTCAACCTCTGTTTGCTTTCCAGAGTTACGTAAGCAGGTGGAGAGCTCCGAGCTGAAGAACCAGAGGCTAAAGGAAGTGTTTCAAAAAAAGATTCAAGAGTTCCGCACAGTCTGCTACGTCCTGACTGGTTACCAGATAGACCTCACCACCGAGAACCAGTACAGGCTCACCTCAGTCTATGCAGAACACATGCATGACTCTCTACTCTTCAAAAAGGTATGCAAAATTACAGTGCAAACTGAGTCCATAATCAAGCTAACATTTTATTATCACTGACTACCTTCAAAATTAGTTAGAAAAAGCGAAATGACTCAAATTAGTCATTATCTTAGTCTCAGAATGTACAAATAACGATTGCACCATCCTGCTCAGCTGCAGTATATAATAAACCACGTTATTTCAGGGTCCATTTACTGGTCAGTGACACAGCCTTTGTAAGCATATGCCCTGTGGTCATAGAGGGAAAGCTTCAAATGAGAAGCTACAGCTGCCTGTCGTATCTGTTTCAGTGTTGATACTTGTCTCTTTTAGCTGAGAACATGAGTGGAAGATTTTGGTGTGAGTGATGTGGAGAGAGCCAGAGTGGTAATAGGACAGTGGCACAGGGCTATAATCGCTGTCTGACTCCCTGAACACTTATTGAGTGTGTTAGATACAAACTGTATGTGATTGTCCCTTAGCTGTTGAGCAAATCCTTTACTTAAGTAGCTTTGGGGGGAGCAGGGGTGTCCCTCCTCCACTCCCACATCTTTGTCTCTTCTCTTCTTCTCTCCTTCCTGTGGCATGCACATGTATCCCCTTTATCTCTCCATTTTTATCTTCCCAATTTTCTTTGTTAATCTGATTTGAGCTTGTAGCCGTTGGTAATAACTGCGTTGTTGGTTTGGTGATTGCCAAACTGTGGGGAAATAATTCTGGCAAGTTACTGGGCAGTTTAGATATCTTGGTAGGTAATTCATCTCTTCCTCAAGGGTATTTTAAATACTGCCATGCTAAAGTGTGACATAAAAATATAAATGGTAAGATCAGAAGGAGTGAATGTGTGTATTGGTGTGTATTTGTCATTATTGCAAGAGTGCCATATTCACCCACCTGAGACCCTGCTTGAGGAGATAATTTTCTGTCCGTATGTATTAAACTCAGACTGTTTCTAAGAATGGAAATAAACACACTCTGGTAATGTCCTCCTGGTGAGCATTTTCCCTTTCATGCTGGAGTGCTCCCATGTTAGCCTCATTCTCAGCCTCTTTGATACCAACCTCATCAGCTAACAATCCCTCCATGCACATGTACAGTGATCCATGTACAAACCAAAGAGATGCTAATGCCTTTTATATTAGTATTCATTGTGCATTAAATGCATGTAGTTGATTTTCGAACTAGGACAGTAGGGGTACCACAAATGTAGCACAGAAAATAAACATGGGATCACTTATTCATGTTCCCAGTGAAGCTGTATGATGGAAAAATAAAAAAGAAACAGTAGTTGAAAAAAAGTGGAGTAAACAGATTCCTGAGAGTTGGTTTTAAACAGACTGCTCAACAGCTGATCAAAATTTTAAGACCACAGCAATTTAATGTTAAAATCAGAGCCTCAGCCTGGCTTTCATCTATTTTGTCTGGCAGGTACTTTGTCACGACTCCTGTCTTTGAAAAGGGCAGAATTATTCAGCTGCACCAGCAAGGTCTCTCCCAGCATTTAGTTGTTGTTGAGGTTAAAAAAAAGAAAGCAGTAGACATTTAAATAAGTTTGAAAGATTTATATGTTTGTTAAACTGTCTGAATAAAAAAAAAAACATTTTTAGTGATGTATTTTCTTTCCTGCTGCTGTGTCATCTTATTGCCTTTTTATTTTCTTCCTACAGCCTTATTGCAGTCCAGCAGTGGGAAAATTGAAGGCTTATAACATTTTACCCAAGTTTAAGATTTTAATCAGATGTGTGTGTGAAGGCGGTTATAAAGTATGAGATGAAAACATAATATTGACGTCTCTTATTTTAATCTGAGGTGGTGGAAAATAGATTTTAATGACTGGATAGTCAGAAGATGATGAGAAAAACCTTGGGATTTTGAACAGGAAGCAGAGAAGTCCTTACAAATAGGATTCTAGCGTTCTTCACCTTAGCAACAGTGTTGCCAGATAATCCTGCTAATATTCCCCTCCAGCAGAGGCAACCAAATCCCCCTTCTATGATATAAGCTGTTTAACTGGCCCCAGTCACGTTCCTCTACCTGTTGTGTGTTAATGAATTCATGTCTGTGTGACTCTGATTGAAATGTTTTCACCAACCTTCGGTTAAAAATATTTTTCATCCTCTTACACCACCATTGTTTGAGGATAATATGTAAAATTGATAAGCAAGATTCTTTCCTCGGCATGTGCAATATCGGCCTCATTAGGTGACTGCTAAAGACATTTTTAAAAATCCTCTTTCCACCTTTCTTTAAGTCTTGTTGCAACATTTAGCATCCTTCCACCATTAAAACCCAACAACTCCATGAAGCAGGGTGAAAGCCCATAAATAGTAACAGAAACAAGATTATTGCTCCTAACTTCTGGAACTTTAGCATAGTTGCATACTGACAAAAGGAATTGCTTAGCTATGGCATTATGCAGTATGAAGGGGAACAGATATTTGTCAACCTTGTCTGCAAACTGAGTTTTCACAGTAATTGTGAGTTTGCAAATGCAACAGAATCTATTTTGTACAGCTTCAACTGTTCAAAAATGACTTAAAATGGTTTGGCCAGTCTGGTGGTAGTATTATGGTTTTAGGCGGGACGTATTTCTCTTGAGGAGAGCAAGAGCTGCCGAGCCCACAGCCAAACCAAAATAAAGATGGCAGTGTAGCTGATGCCATCACATCCTGTCATAATCCATTTCGTCTTTGAAAGATGATCAGCAAGAGCGTTAAAAGTGTAGCTTGTTGTGGTTTCTCATGGCTTCTGCCGACATTTTTATTTGTGTGCACAGCTCACCTTTACAAAGGATCACAAGTGTTTCGTTTGAGTTTCTGAAACTGACAAATAGGTTTTGAAACCAGAATAAAGTGCAGCC